CACACAGAGAGAGAGAGAGAGAGAGAGAGAGAGAGAGAGAGAGAGAGAGAGAGAGAGAGAGAGAGAGAGAGAGAGAGAGAGAGAGAGAGAGAAGTCATATGTTGCATTATTTAAAGCCTTGGATGTGTGGGTGATTCAGGGGCAAATGAGGATTTCTTTCGTGAACTTTGGGCATCTTGACTATGCTTATCATTTGTTTTTGGGTCACCATGGATGTGTGGTACTTGTTTTCTTCCGCCGGCTGTGGGGCAGTCCCCAGACAGGTCCCAGGCTGCCTTGACATCCGCAATCAAGTATCAGCTGCCTCCATCACGAAATGGATCGCGGAGGTCGTCGAGGGTGTCGCTTCCTCTGCCAGGGCAACGGAGCGTGCCAGAGGCATTTGAAGCCTCTTCACCATCTCGATCGCGCGGAGGCCTTTCTCCGGAGCCTCCTCATGCACGGGACCGGACGAATGACCCGGTCAAGCACATCCTTCTCAACGCAGCGCGAATAAGTTCAGGAAGGTTGGATTCAGAGACAGAGGTGGCCGGCGGCATTGGATGCGGCAGGGACTACTTCTCTGCCAGAGGGGGAAGGACGGCAAGTTGCGCTGCGGCTGCGGTGGTGGAAGATGTTGATGGCAGCAATGGCCGCATGCCCTCGGCATCGCTGTCCGCGCGCAAGGTCTCTGATTTGCCTGTCGTCGAGGAGAAGGTGGGTGGTCCACAAAGTTAACCATGGTTCGCATCGTGTCAAATCCAACACCCCTTCCTTCCTCTCCTTCCTCTCTCTTCCTTTATCCTTTATTGGAGGAGAATATTTTATTATTTTTTGCAACAATACTTTTGGAATTAAGTACATGCTGACCATTGTATCTGTAAATACTTTTGGAATTAAGTGCATGCTGACGTCGAATCTGTGATGTGAGTAAGGGTGTACTCCGTGTAGTGACACTGCGGACATTTCGGACCGAGCCTGCTTCGTGGGGGAAGGTATGTTGTGTGGAAAGTCAAAGGGTGGAGCATGCACTAAGGGCATAGTAGGCATAGTCACACTAGGACTTTCTTAAATGTATCGTACCACAATTGCGGCCAAACCTGGATGAATCTGACTGGAATCTCGTCCAGAGCTTGGTAGCTAAAGTCCTCATGCGAGTATGTGGTGATTCATGCATGGTCTCTGAACAGTTTGATTGGTTCAAAGTGACTGAAATATGGATAGAATGGAAAAAATGGAGGGCTGGGGGCGCGGAGGGGGGGGGGGGGGGGGGGGGGGGGGGGGGGGGGGGGGGGGGGGGGGGGGGGGGGAGGGAGGGCGGGGAGGGAGGGCGGGGAGGGCGCGGAGGGGCAGAGGAGAGGAGGCGGCATGTTGTTGTATGGATTGGTGCTGACAATAAGAAGTATTAAGAACTATGACTTGGCGGGGAGGAAGGGCGGGGAGGGCGCGGCGGGGCAGAGGAGAGGAGGCAGCATGTTGTTGTGTGGATTGGTGCTGACAATAAGAAGTATTAAGAACTATGACGTACGTGCTAAGTCCCATGAACTGATGATGAACATGACCTGGCTGGCATCCGTGCGAATGCTGAAAAGACTGTGGGTAGGAATGTGTGCCATAAAGCCTGATAAAGGTGGGTAGGGAATCTGGGAAAAACTTCTGAAAAAGCCGACAAGTTTTTCGTAGTTGATTGATAATGTTCTCAATCTTAAGAATGAATCCGAAAATTTTGGCTATTGGAGATTGGGGGGGGGGGGGCACCTTTGGCTATTGGAGAGGGGGGGATGGGGGGCGCACCTTTGGCTATTGGCCGTACTTTGGGGTACAAGCCTGAAGTTACAGGCGGAAGGGGAATGTGTGGATTCGGAAGGTTTACCTTGGATCTGTTCAAAGTGAAAGTGACGGAACAAGGAATCCCGGAACTACATGGATTTTTATTTTTATTTTTTTTCCCCCCCCTTTGTTTGGTTCTCTGGATTCGAACGCGGGCTGTATTTCAAGAGTTCATGATTGGTGGGTGTAGACCAACTGAGCTAGGCCAGTTGGTGAAGTACACGTATTTGTTTTTGCGGTGTACTCGATCAGTCTTTTAGTGGTTTGTGAATCTTCACTGAAATCTGGTATCACTTATTTGCCTCCTTTGGAGGGCGGTTGGTGGTGGTGGCGTTTGGGGAGGGAATGCTTTTCGTTGACGGTGGGGTTTCGTTCAATTTAGGAAATGCGAGAGGCAATGGAGAAACTGGTACCGAAGCACTCGAAAGAGAGGGCAGAACTCATGCAGTCATATGCGCCAGGCTATGGCCGGTGGAGAACGCGGTTGAGGTGAGCACCACCCCTTTGACCCTTGTTGTCAGAAAAACGAACAATCTCTTCCACTGTGCTCGTAGTGGCAGGCCACCTTCCTTTTTTCCTTTCTTGGTTTTCCTGTTTGCCATTTCGCCCAGCAATAGTGCCATTTTGCTGTTCTTGTTGTTTTTAGCACCACAGTGACCACACAATAAATGAATACGTAAAGCGTATACCTTCTTCACACCCCCCCCCCCCCCCCCCCCCCCCCCCCCCCCCCCCCCCCCCCCCCNCCTGTTTACAACACCTTGCCGTTGTGATGGTATCGAACTGGGACGGGCAGCTTGTCAGGATTTGAACCCCTGATCTGTTTATCGAACTGGTACCAAACATGTGTGTACCATTGGGGCACTGGGGATGGGGGAATTGAGCAGTCCAAGTTGATGACTGACCCTTTTTCGACGATGCAATATGACCAGGCCGGGGAGGGGGGGGGGAGGGGGGGGTGGTCTTTGAAGAAGGGTTGATAGCTGCCAAGTTGCCAACTCTCCTTCTCCTCCCCCCCCCCCCCCCCCCCCCCCCCCCCCCCCCCCCCCCTCCCCTCCCTTTCCAAAAGAGGGTTAGCCGCTTAAGGCCATTGTATTCATCAGGATTTCAACTCATGATCTGTTTATCAACACCTACCACAAAAGTCTTCATCTGTGTTTTTTTTTTTTTTCCCCTTCCCAAAAAAGTGTGTACCATTCATGCAATATGAGAAGGCCCGAGTTTTGTGATGCATGTAGCTGCTGCTGCAATTGTGGGGGTGGGGGTTATCTCCGAAAGAAGGGTCGAGGGCTGCCAATTTGGGGTTCTAACTTTTAACTTTATATTGTATGCCGGCATGTTGTTGCCTTTTGTTTTCGTTTCTGCCAGTAGATTTTTTGAGTGGCCTGGATGCTGAAAACTTTGTTTTTTTTTGTTTTGTTTTTTTTTTAAGAAAAGAAAAGAAGAGCGGCAACGACATTGAGACGTCATCGTTGAACTGACCGGCCAGAGGTAATTCAGGAACCATGTTATTGCATTTATCAAGTTTGACGGAACGTTGACCGTCGATTCGAGCTCGGTTCTCTATTTCAGCAGATCGGAGGTTGTACCGACTGACGAGGCCCGTTGGTAGGTAGCATGCTCAATTTTTATTTTTATTTTTATTTTTTTTATCAGTGCAAGGGTGCAAGCTCGATCCTTTATGCTCGAAGTTTGAAGTTTGAAGTTTGAAGTATGAACCCCCCTCCCGCCCTTCCTGTGCCACGCACGCGAGTGGACACAAAGACAATTTGAATACTGGTTGCATGATCTGGAATGAATACTATGAATGCTGTCTGCGTTGCTGACGATTTGAATAAGGTCTGATGGATCGGTCTTTGTTTGTCTGTCTTGTTGCCTTTTCCACACCTCTGCGCGGGCTACGTGACGTCTTTTCTACGTCGCTACGATTTGAATAAGGTCTGATGGATCCATGCTTTTGCTTTTGCTTTGCCTTTGTGCATCTGCAGATGCGGATTCAGCCTGCTTTTCTACGGGTTCGGGTCCAAGAAAGCACTTTTAGAGAGCTTTGCAGCATCAGTCTTGACTGATGGATCGGCTATTGTGGTCAATGGGTACTTGCCCTCTGTCAATATCAAACATGTATGTATTGCCCTCCCTTCTCTAGCCAATCACCTAATCACACCGATGACAGGAAAAAAAGAAAAGAAAGAAGAAGAAAAAGAAAAAAAGGAACAAGTGAAAGGCCTTCCACGATTCAGACCCCAAATTCGGGTCTCAGGGTCAAAGGCCCTGGCTAACAAAAGGCCGAGTCAGTCAATTTCAGAAAAGTGACAGTCGGGTACTCAGCAGTCCAGTCCAACAGGCACCCAGCAAACAGTCACATCTTAGGGGCAATAATCACGTTTCATAGTGGAAACACTGGAAAGTCATATTGAAGAGTCACATCCCACGAGTGCAAGGGCAGTTCCACAGGCAAGAGTCGTGTCCCAGAGGCAGGAGTCACAGTCCACAGTCGAAACCATATGCCAAAATCGGAAAGTCATGACTCAAAGGCCCAAGCAGCAGCAGACCAATGGAAATTCGGGAAGGTTCCACGCCTTGACATTCGGAAGCAGACAGGCTGTGGGGATGTGGTATCGGAACCCAGTGAGGTCCCAAGAAGCAGAGGCTGGTACGAGTTGAAGTGCAGTCCAAGACTACAAAAGGACTGGCCAGCCTCCTCATTCGGTAGACAGCTCATTCGCATGAAGTGTGGAAGTGCTGGTGCACTTGTGCGCTAATTGTGAGGGGCTGCGCTAGCTGAGATAGAGGGAGAGAGAAGAAGAGACAGCGCTGGCAGGGAGAAGGCAGCCATAGCTGCGCCAGTGCAGGGTGTTAGTGCTAGTAGTAGTCTTCAGAGGGGTTAGTAGAGTTGCCTGTGGGTGTATTCAGAATTGGTCCTTGAGTAGTAGAGAGAGTGTGAGTGCATGCAGATAGGGAGATACGGGGAGGTAGAAGACAGAGAGGAGATGAAGTGAGGAAGAAGAGAGAAGAGCTTCGGGAAAGTTACATACCTGAGTGGAGATTCTGGATACTTGGGGTTGCGCTGTTGAGTGCCTGTGACCGAAACTCTTAACTGGTTTTATATGATAATTTGTTGGAATTCTGAGCTGCGCTACGTGGTGGGCTCCATATCGGGGTTTTTAGATCCCCCAGCGCACAGGGCATTTCGGGGTTTTCAGACCCGATTTCGGACGGTGGTAGGCTCCCGCAGGCCTACCGGGTCCGACCGGCCCGAAAACCCGCGGCATCGGGCCCGATAGGCGTGAGGGAGTGGGTTTGAAAATTGTGGCGGGTCTGTGGCCGTCGATCCGCCTTGATCGACGGCCACAGAGCCGTCGCAAGTTTCCCGCCCAGATTTGATTGGCGGCGATCTTGCCCGCAGACC